TATCTATCTATCTATCTATCTATCTATCTATCTATCTATCCATCCATCCAGATAGACAGATATATTCCAAATTCAATTGAAGGATAGCACTGTAGTACCAACTGTAATCCCAGCACAAGGGGGTGCAAGAGGGTCAGAAATCCAAGGTCAGCCTTGGTTACAGGTGAGGCCTATATGGTATATATGAGATTTTGTTTCTAAAAAAGAAGAAAAAAAAATGAAAGGAAGAAAAGAAGGAAAATCTATTAAAATGTTAGTCAGAATTCTAAAGCAATAGCTGGGCTTAGTGATGAGCATGGTGTCTGGCGTAGCAGCAAAGGCTTCGGTGTTATTTCTGAGTTAAAATACCTAGTTAACTGGAGATGGTGGCACACAACTGTAATCCCAGCACTAGGGTGGTAGAAACAGATGGATCTCCATGAGTTTGTTGCCAGCCCGGTCTTCATCAAAAAATCTAGGACAGCCAGGGCTATGTAGAAAGACCTTGTCTCAAAACAACAACAAAAGACTTAAAAAAAGAGAAGAAACAAAGCAAAAACAAGCAAGCAAATAAACAAAAAACCCTAGTTGAGCTTGACCACCACACGCTGGGAATAAATCCCATTTACTCCACATACTTGCTCTAAATATATCAAGAATGGCCAACCTCTGCGCCCATGCAGCAATATTCTTGCCACTTCTGTCTTCTTTTTATATTTTGATTTATTTTAGAGAAAAGGTTGACAGGCACATGATTTCAGCTATGAAGAGGGAAGGATGAATATTTCAAAAGCCTTTCTGAGAGGGACACAGATATAGCTGGGATTTTATTTTTAAAGCATGTGTAGCACTTTCAAGAAACAAATTCTTTTTTTTTTTTCTTTTTAACAAGTTCTTATTATGCTGATAGAACTGACTAGCATGAAGGCTCACTTATCTTGATTTAGAATGCTGACCGAACACGTTTTTCATGCCTGAAATTTAATCTGACTCTCTTACTTGAATTTAAAATATTTTAAAGTTAAGCTAAGTCTGGATAATCAGTTTAAAAGCACCAAGATATTCAATTACATTTATTTTTAAAAGATCTATTTATTTATTTAGACGATGAGTCTCACTATGTAGTCTCACCATGAGTCTCACCATGAGTCTCACGGGCTGGCCTGTAATTCCTTTGTAGGCCAGGATGGCCTAGAATTCCCAGCAACCTACCTGCCTCTGCCTCCTGAGTACTGTGATTAAAGCTATGGGCCACTATGCCAGCAAGAGTTATCTCTCTCTCTCTCTCTCTCTCTCTCTCTCTCCTTTTTTTTTTTTTTTTTTTTAATGTGCATGACTGTTTTACTTGCATGTATGTATGTGTACCATGTGTGTTTGGTATTTAAGGAGACCAGAAGAGGGCAGTGGGTCCTCAGAAACTACATTTATCAAGGATTATGAACTGCTGAAATGGTGCTAGGAACCCCAATCCTCTGCAGTTAGGGCCAGCTGTAATGTCACAAGCCTGTAATCCAAGTATTAGATATTGATATAGAATAGAGAGTATAAGGATAAAATAGAAGCGAGCTTGAAGCTGTCTGCACAACATAGAAAGATGCTGTCTCAACTACCACCCCCCCCCACCAAACACACAAATCAGACTGGGGGTACAACTCAGAGCTGGAGTGCTTGTCTAGTATATGAGAGATTCTGGGCTCAATTGCTAGCACTAGGGGCTAAGTTTAAAACCCTAGAAGAACAATATTACAGTAAACTGAGCAAGAAAACAAAAATAAACATCTTCCTACTTCAAAAAACTATTTTTATTCACCCTGGACCTTCAGGAAGTGGGCGCAGCCACGGCATAAAGGGTGACACCCGCAAGTTCCTAGGCCCCTAGAAGCCGCAACCAACTCTATCACTGGTGCCAAGGACCACGAGTCTAACCAGATGAATGTGGCCAAGGCTGACAATGTCACAGGAAGGTTTAATGGCTAGATAAAAACCTATGATATCTGTGGGGCCATTCGCAGGATGGGAGAGTCCACGGGGCTGGCTAAGGCTGAAGTCATCTGAAGGGGCCTCTGAGGCAGCACAGAACACACTTAGGCACCAAACTCTGAGCACAGAGGAGATTTATTACTCCGGAGGGACAAGCAGGATGAGGGGTGGAGGTGAGTTGTTCTGATCAGACAGAGAGGATGGCAGGGCTTTTTGCAGGAGTGCCGTATTCAGGAAGAAAGGAGAGTCAGTTCGAGTTGCTGGTAAGTCCTGATTGCACAGTTTAGCCAGAGTAGCCAAATAATGAATTTTGGTTTCTGGACCTTGCTGTTCTGATAGGTGGACCTTGGAGTTTTAGTCAGGCATAAGGAAGTGGCCAAATAAGGGACTAGATTCTGGGGGCTGGCTTTAGGAGTGTAATCTAAAGGTTTAGCAAGGGAGAGGGATAGGAGGAGGGGAAGACCTGCCAGCGACATGTTTGCAGTGTGGGCTTGTTAGAGAACCTTTCAGCACCTCTCAAAGAACTTCTGGCCAGAGGAAATTGGGGAATCTTTATCATAAACAAACATGAGAAACCAACCAACCAAAAACCCCACCTATTTTTAAGCTAGCATGGCTCATATAGTAAAGAGCAAGGATGGAAGGAAGGAAAGAAAGGAGGGAGGGAGGAAGGGAGAGAGGAAGAAAGGGAAGGGAGGACAATTTTTTATTTTCTACAATCTTTTCATCTTTAATCATATGCAAACACTTCTCCCGCTGTGGTACACATTAGACAAATACAAATGATTATGCGGACAGCTACTTGTAGCTTTAAAAGATGGGAGGTCTCTGGTGCTGAAGACACTGCACACCTTTGTTGCAAGATGTCTGGAAAGGAGGCTGGACTGCAAGCCCCCTCCCTGCTAGCTAGTTTTTATAGTTCAAGGGGGTGCTATGCTGCTTGCTAGGAGAAAAAAAAAATGGCATCAGCAGTCTTAGGCAGCTGTGAATCCTGTAAACTGCAGCTGTGTTCTGTTGTTTCTTCTCTGTTTTTCTCACTTTTTATATGAGCCTATTCACTTAATGACTCATTTACAATAGAAGTAAATTTGTTGTTGTTGTTGTTGTTGTGTGTGTGCATGTGTGAGATCTCCTTCCATTATGTAGAAGTCACCAGGGTTGGTGGTGAGAGTGTTTACTGGCTGGCAATCTTGCTGGCATTTTTTTTTTTTTTTTTTGAGACATGGGTCTCCTTTAGTCCAGTATGGCCTCAAAACTTAAGCAAGATATGTAGCTGACACTGACCTTGAACTCCCAATCCTCCTGCCTCTCCCTCCCAAATGCTGAGATTTGTGTTTGTTTGTTTTTGTTGTTTTGAGACAGGGTTTCTCTGTGTAACAAGCCCTACCTGGCTGTCCTGGACTCACTTTGTAGACCAGGCTGGTACTGAACTCACAGAGATCCACCTATCTCTGCCTCCACGTGGGATTACACGCATGTGCCACCACGACCGACTCCAAATGCTGAGATTAAAGTTGGGCACCACACACACAGCTCAGAAGTAATTTTAAAAACAAATTTTATGAACTCTGGAAGCTACTTGGTGGTTTAGAAATAAGGAACATTTTAGGACTTTTCTTTGACCAGGCTCATTGTGGTCCTGTTTCATGAGAACTGTACAAAGGAGGTATTCAATTTCTGAGAGGAAAAAGATTGTCTACAGTCTCCATAAATTTACATTATTTAAAATGCATGCCTGTATTCACCACATGCATTTGACCCACAAAGAGCCCTCAGATAAGGATGTGAGCCTCATAGTCTTGGTGTGATGGTGCTCAATACGCATTCCCCACTACTGTACCGCTTATGTGACTTTCATCCAAACACACTTCTATATTCCTGGTATGAGGCCCCAAACACGTCAACTCCCTGATGGTCACCTCATTGTTTACTAGTTATAGCACACAGAGGCTGGAATGTGCTCTTCCGGCAGGAAGAGTTCTACTGGAGGTCTAGAGAGAATAAAGTGTCTTCATTCTCAGTGACTAAGGCGAAAATACTGTGGAGAGGGAAGGAAGCAAGTTCCAAGAAGTATATGCTTACTATCTCTGGGCCGGTTCTTTTGTCAGTGAGGTCATACGTTTTGTCCAAGTTGGGGTCCATTTATCTCTGCTAGCTTCCTTAATTTATGGCATGCACCCTAACTCCAGCTAACTGTTTAACAAACATCTTTGTTTTTTGAAAAAAAGGGAACCTAAAAAAAGAAAAAAAGAATTTTT